TTTGTGAATGGTTTTCCACTCAAATAAGCTATCTAGGAATGTCTTATGTGCACATTTGTTTTGTGACTGTTCCCATTTATATTCGTTGCTTTTCTCTTGTTAATGTGACAAAATGCCTGACAAAGGCAACTTAAAGAAGGAAGGACTTATTTTGGCTCAGAGTTTGAGAGATTGCCTTGAACAATCCTGGCGAGGATGCAGGGAAAGGGGAACCCTCATGTGCTGTCTGTAGGAGTGCAAGCTGGTGCTGTCACTATGGAAATCATTGTGGCGTATCCTCAAAAAACATAAATACACCTAGCATATGACCCAGCTATACCACTTTTGGACATAGACACAAAGGACTTTATTTCCTACTACAGAGACACTTGCTCATCCATATTCATAGGTGCTCTATTAATGATAGTTAGGACATAGTAATAGCCTAAATGCTCATCAGTTGGTGAATGAATAGTGAAATGGTACCTATACACAATTGCATTTTACTCAGCTGTAAAGAAAAATGAAATTATGGAGATTGCAAGTAAGTGGATATAATTACAACATTATGCTGAGTGAGGTGACCCAGATTCAGAAAGACAAATGGTAAATGTTCTCACTCATATAAAGCTCTTAGTGTCCAGTCTTTAGACTTGTGTGTTTATGTTGGATAACCCGTAGAAAATGCTAAACTAAAAAGAACTAGAAAGGGATCAATGATGGGGAGGGGGAGAAAGCTCTTAAGGGAGGGGAATGATAGAACACAGGTGATGTGAAGGAGAATGGGGGATCCTGGGGAGGGAGCTTTAAGTGGGGAGAGGAGGAATGGGAGGAAACAGAAGAGGAGAAGGTGGGGGAGGGATAACCAACACCAAAAATATATGAACAGTCCATACGGAAACCTTCTATTTTACAATTGGAACTACCCTATAAAGGGGATAATGCTCATCCTGGAAGACACAGACTGTCAAATAGAAAACCTATTGTCAGATATGGAATATCCCCCTTGAGTTGTTGGTGAGAAGAGACCCAGAGAACCCCAAAACAATACAGGCTGTACTACTGTTCTGATTGCACACAAGAACTTGATGGTAAGACCCTGCTACTGAGGTCACTATACATTTTGTTCACAGGACACAGAGAAATCAAGTCAATACTGACCAGGAACTCCCTGCTAACTAACTTTCATAGTACTGGAAGATGCTGTGGGGACTACTGGTGGAAAAAGTCATCAGTAGTCTTACACAGTTGTCCATGTGAACTCAGTAATGACCAGCATGGCAAGATATGCCCATGGATGCAATAGTGGCACAATGGGTGCAATAATGGCATCCACTGCTTTCTGTTTGGATTTAAGGCCCACTCAATAAGAGGAAATACATGTCCGGTACTGTAAATCTGGCCAAGAACCAATATTTGATGAGTTCACAGGCCCCAGCAGTGCACCTATTACTAGTTTGTTAAATATACATAATATCAAACTGCCCTCCAAATTTGTATCTCTATGCCTATCGGTTGGTCCAGTTCTCAGTCTTCATCAGAGAAATGTCTTTGTGTAGTGGACAGTGGTTAAGGTAGAAACTCAGAATTGCTCCAGATGCAGAGAGTAAGGGTAAGCAGATAGCTCAGTCACCAATGGGACATCTCTCACACACACACACACACCACTTCCAAAGGCTCAGGAATCACCATGGAAGAGAGGACAGAAATATTACAAGAGCAAAAGGTCAGGAAGGACTGGACTGAAACAGTGTCTTCTGGAATTAATAAGTGCAGTGCACTCATGAACCCAAAGCAGGTGTGGTTGCCTGCGCAAGATCTGCATATGATCAAGCTAGTCAGCATTCTACCATGAAGGAGAGAGAGGCTCATAAGCATAAGCCCCTACCCTGAACTGAGGAGGGAATGTTACTTATGGCTTCTGAGGGAAGAAGAATTAATTTTCTCTAAGGATGAGACCACTCATAGGTCAATCACACTCTAATGGATGGTCCCACACACATGAGTTTACATACAGCACAAATTGGATTCAGTGGATTTTTTTTTTTCAAAAAAAGGACACAGATTTGGAAGAGGTGGGATGGTAGGGTTGGATCTTGGAAGAGTTAGTGGCAGGAAGGAGTGAGGGTGAATATGATCAAAATACATTATAGTAAATTATCAAAGAATTAAGGAATATTTATTTATTATTTTTATTTTATGTGTATGAATGTGGTGCCTACATGTGTGTAAGTATACCTGTGTCAAGGGCATTGGATCCCTTGGAACTGGAGTAACAGATGGTTGTTAGCCACCATGTGAGTGCTGGGAACTGAACCCAGGTCCTCTGAAAGAGCAGCCATTGCTCTTAACTGCTGAGCCATCTCTCCAGCTTCAGAATTAAAATGTCTTTTAAAGAGACTGCCTTGAATCTTAAAGGGGACATTGAACTTTGGTTTTGAACAATGTCAGAAATGTTAAGATGTAGGGAACTTTCAAATGGACTAAATTCATTTTGCATTGTGAATAAAAATGTGACTGCAGAGGCCAGGAGTGGAATACAATGATTTTAAGTGATATTTTGGGTTGTCAAGTTGACAAGAGGGGGAGTGTGATGGTTGATCTTTACCATCACTGAATTTAGAGTCATCATAGACACACACTCCTACAAGTGTCTATGAGAGAATTTCCAGAAATATTTTCTGAGGAGAAATGGCTTATACTAAATGTGAGTGGCACATACCATGGGCTAGTGTCCTGGCCCTGAATAAAAATAAATATTAGCTGAACAACAGCATTAATGTATCTCTTCTTTCTGACTAGAGGAGACAGTGTAACCATCTGCCTTAACTCTTGCCCCCATGCCTCTCCAGATATGATGGACTGTATTCTTGCTTCTGTTGGGTATTGGTTGGTCACAGAAATGATAAAAGTGACTAATATAACATCCTATTTTTTTTCCAAAGTTTCACTTTGGTAAAAGCCAAAGTCTTATTTACATGCCTTCATTTTCACACTAGGCATTTGTGATAGTTTGTCAACCTGACACATCTTAGAATCACCTGGGAAGAACGTGTCAGTTAGGGATTCTCTAGATCAGGGTGGCCTGTGGGAATGCCTGTGAGGAATTTTTCTCACTTGAGTTAATTGAGGTTGGACACCTCAATCTGAATGTGGGTAGCACTGTTTCATGGCCTGGGCTATGAATTGTCTAAGAGTAGAGAAAGCCAGCTGACCACTAGGCATTGCATGGGTTAATTCTTTATGCTCTTGACTGGGATGTGACTACTTGCCTAGAGTTCTTCCTTGACCTCCCTACAGTGAGAGACTGTAACCTGGAATTTTAAGCTAAATAAACCCTTTCTCCCCTAAGTTGCTTTTTGTCAGGGTGTTTCATTACAGCAACACAAATTAAATTAGAAGAGCATCTAAGCCCCTGGTCCCTGAAGAGCAAGGATCTATGGGGATCCAGGTCTGTTGGTAGATGGTCCACAGTAGATAACTTTTTGAACTTGTTATTACGTTGATCGATTTGTGTGTATGTGTCAGCCCGAGACTGCAATTTCAGAGGTCAGAGGATAACATCCAGGAGTCACTCCTCTCCTATCATGTGGGTCCCAGAGGTTGAATTCAGATCATTAGGCCTACTGACAAGGGCTTTACCCACTGAGCCAACTTGCTGATCCTATTGTAGATGGTTCAATTAAGGATTTGTACATAGTGACATAGAAGCTAAAGTATAATCTTGATCTTCCTGCATAATGCTCTCCATCATCCTCTTTAAGAGCTCAGATTTCATTCAATAACTTGATGCATTTGTTTTTCCTTTTGGTTTTCATATGCAGAGAATTTGACTAATCTTGCCTGTGATTGGTAACACACAGGTATTGCTTGCCAATGAACAATTATTTATTTTAAAACATAATAGAGACTTTTGAAATGTCCCCCTTGCAACAAAATGCAGTGTGAACATTGATAAGATCTATAATTCTATGTGATTCTTTCCCATCCCTTTTTCCATTGATCGTATCTTCTAATAAATGTCTATTAATGTCTTTTGCTCCTTTTCTATTGAATGATACAGATTTATAGATAAAATAATTTTTTCCCTTTTAAAAGAATTTTTCCCCAGGACCTGTCTCCACTAATTCATGTCTTCTAGTTTGTGACAGAACTTTCTAGGTAAGCAGAAAAGTCATACTGTGTAACATCCTCCTTAAGACCCTCTGCATTCTCTTCCTATGATAGCTTTCTCAACAGTAGCTCAGCAATGCCTTCTCCTCTCTTGAGGTGTTTCACATATTCTGTGCACATCACACCCAGGGTGCTCCTTTCCTGTGTACCTGGTCTCATGGTACTCACTCAGCTTTCCAGACACTGCATCACAAAACCCATCTCTGGGTTGCCATTAGTAATTCTTCTGGTTGCCTCATGATCCTCCCTATCTACCAGGTCCTTGAGTAGTGATCCTGGAGAGACACACACTCAAGCTTTCAGAAAACACATAGCAATTTATAGAAGTGTCTTTAGATAAGTCTACAGGAATATGTGTCTCTTTAGCCACAAACCTAGGATTTGGTAGAGTTAGGACAACATCAAGGTTTTATCACTTTCAGGGATCTTTTTATGTCAGTTAGCCACTTTGTCATCTCAACTCTGTCTCATTTTGCTAGGTCCCAAACAGGATACACTTCCTCCTCACTCCACCCTCAGATTATTTCTATTTCACTCACTCCTCCCCTTGTCTGTTCTCTCCCCATCTCTTCACAGGCATGCTTCCAGATGTCTGTCGAGTATTGGTTGGTCACAGAAATGATAAAAGTGGCTAATATAGCATCCTTTTTTTTTTTAAAGTTTCACTTTGGTTTTTTGGTTGTTTTTTTTTAAGTTGCGTGTGTGGTTTTAACTATCCACCACCACCTTCCTCGGGGTTTCATGGGTCTCTGAGGTGAGGAAGGCTGTTGCAGAGGTTTTTGCTGAGGTCTATGGCTCCTGCTCAACACTGTGTCCCTACCACCACAAAGGTAGAAGCCTCTGTTTTCAGGATATGCAGTTATCACAGTCAGAGAGGAAAAGTTCAGGCTTGGGTGGTTGATGGGAAACTTCTCCTCAGTAAAATTTTGTTCATATTTGACACTAGAGCTCACAGTAGAAATTGCCATCAGCTTGAAGGTCTCTTGTGCCGATTGATGATACCAAACCACAGTAGTTGCCTGAACACCCTCAAAGTGACACTCAATCTTCATAGAGGTTCCACTCTTACAGATGGCTCTTCGGGGGTTCTGAGAGACGAGAGCACCAAGCCCAGAGCCTGCCAAAACAGAGGTCAGAACAATGATGAAGGACTTCACAAGGCCCAGAATCACATGGTGCCTGACCTGAGTCAGACAGAACCCCAGAGAATTCAATCTTTCTTTAAGCTCTTGGACACTCTTCCTTTGCCTTCATACACCCATGATTTTATACTCACCAGAACCATAATCCCCCACTGGCCCTGAATGGTGACTCACAGTTTACACCTTAGGCAGCCCAGATGCCCCTTCTCCTTGGATCAGCACCAACAATTCCCAAAGGATGGCCACTACTTACTTCACTCAGGTCCACACACACACACACACACACACACACACACACACACATACACACACACACACACACACACACACACACACACACACACACACACGCACGCCAGGGTATGAAAAGGCTCGTACTGGGCCCCAGAAGCAGCAGAAACAGCAGCATCCTCAGTGTTGGGCTCATAAATACCGCCTTCTCTGAAGAGCAGTCTGACCATGTGCTCAATTCTACCTTTCTCCACCCATGGGTGGATGGATGCTAGAACACCTATTCCTGGGGATGGTCTCTTCTGCCCCTGGTGGTGGTCTTCACCAATGATGTGGAATACATGAATACAGGAAATCTCCTTTTCCCTGGAGATCAAAGAAACCTAACATTGCCTAAAGAAGCTTCAGAAATATACCCATTCAACTTCTCAATGCAGAAGAGACACTGAGACCTAGAATATGGAGATGTCTAAGTGGGTTTCCTACATGGAAAGAGATGTGATTGGGTAGTAAATAGCATTAGAGTCAGTTCTTTGTTTTGTGCCATATCCTCAAATTTGTCACACCAAGACATTCATATATTGCTGTTAATCACTAGAACCACAGGTTTACACTGTTTTATGTGCCCAGGCCAGTGCCTTGACTGGAAGTTCAGTATTTCTTCACAATACTGATGAAGACACCTCCCTGTCTTCTAAGCATAACATCATGACAATTCTTGTCATATCTCAATAGACTAAATTCTAAAGCTATTTATTACTATGTACAGGGACTGGAGAGATAGCGCAGCTGTTACGAACACTGACTGTTCTTGCAGAAGGCGCGGGTTCGAATCCCAGCACCCACATGGCAGCCAACAACTGTCTGTAATTCCAGTTCCAGGGGGATGTGACAGTCTCTTTTGTCCTCCTCAGGCATTGCACGACACGGGTGCACTTACTTACATGCAGGCAATACATGCATACAAATAAAATAAAAATAATAAAGAAAATATTTTTAAAAAATTAGGTATTGATAATAATTTGCATTAATTTTACTGTAACCAGGTCATAGCCAATGGAAGTCAGTTTTAGGAGGATTAGGAAATTCTGTTTTGGACCTGCTGAGTTTGTCTTTTAAGGGATCAGTGTTGGAAATGCATGGCACTTAAAAGAACTGAAAGGTTCTGCTTTGTTTTCCTTTCCCGAAGCACTGTGTTTCATTTACATGTTTAGTCTTGGTTGTTTTCACTTAATGTTTACATCCAGTTTTCTAGGGTTAAGAATTTACCCATCAAATTTTGTTCGTCCTGTATCAAAGTAGCTTTTACTATTGCAAATGCAGTCCTTGTGCTAAATTACTATTAAAGTCTATGGAAGGACACCTGTCCCCTGCTGCTGCTGCAGTTCTATTCGCTAGAATGGGGCTGCCCTGGGAAACTTTTCTGTAATTTATAGACAAGCACAACTTGTTGAAGGGGTCTTCTGGGAAGAAAGGTCTGGAAGCCTCCTGAATCAGGAGAAAACATTACTATTTCTTTGGAGAAACAGGTTTATCAGTGTATTCCTGTGATGTTTTACTGTTGTATCAGGTTAGCTGAACAGGAAGTATGTTTCTGGGATGGTCCCTGCTGATACAGTTCTGGGTTGGAGTTGCTCACAGGAGAAATTGCAAGAGGAAATTACAATGGCCATCACTGTTTTATAGAATATCACTATTATGAACAGGATCACGAGTGCGGGGCTGTGGTTATAGCTGTTCTAGAGCATTTACCAAGCATAAGCAAGGCCCTGGGTTCAGTTCCCACCACTGAAGGAAAGGAATGTTACCAGAGGCTCCAAATTGTTCAAGATTGCCCCACTTCGCATCCAGCTCTGCATACCAACTGTTTCTCATGTTGATCTGTATGGACCTGCAGCCCACAATCAGACATTCTAAGAACTTACAGGGCAGTCAGAGCTAACAGCCAGCAAACTTACACATTCCTCTATTTCATCAGAGCCCCCGTTAGAATGCTTTTATTTGTTTGTTTGTTCTTTGTTTGTTTGTTTTGAGACAGGGTTTCCCTGTAGCCCCAGCTGGCCTGGTATGCTCTATGCATACCAGGCTGGCCTCAATCTCAAAGAGATCTGCCTGCCTCTGCCTCTTGAGTGATAGCATTAAAGGTGTTTTTTTCTGACTCTTTCTAAGACTTAGTTTTATCTCTTTGTTTATTTTATTTTGTGTGTTTCGGGGGAGTACCCATGGAGGTCAGAAGAAAGCGATATACATATACATATATATATGACAACAGAGAGAGAGAGAGAGAGAGAGAGAGAGAGAGAGAGAGAGAGAGAGAGAGAGGCTGTTGGGAACTGAATTCAAGTCCTCTGGAAGAACAGCAAGAGCTCTTGACCTCTGAGCCATCTCTCTATCCCCAGTTAGAATGTTTTAAAACTAGGTTTTGGTGTTTTTTTTTCTCCTCTATCTTCTGCTCAGATTGTGACAGGCTGACTCCGGTAGTAGACTATTTATATCTGACTACTGGTAGAGCTGTTTTAGCCTATGGTTGTGCCTTAACTGTAACAACATGTGTGTCATCAGTGACACTGCCCTAGGTTTATGAATCAGCCATGACACAAGCTGTACATTTTGTCAACTGTCAGTACATGTTCTAACTCCTTACTCTTGAGACTATTTCAGTGGTTTTTTTTTTTTTTTTAATCTAAGTTTTCTTGGCATCTGAGGGACTTACCATCTTAATATCTATGACGACCATTGGGAATGATGACAGAGTCAAAGTACAGGGGTCACTGGATTGTTCAACAAGGAAAACCTTGGTATTGGGGTCTAATCGTCTGGAACAGGGTTCTACATCTTTCCCCAGAACACATCTGTCTGTGGGCAGTAAAGATGTGCAACAAAGAACTGTGTTTAACAGGGAGTGGGCAGAACATGGTGTACTTTCTGCTCTGAACTGGTTTATACAGAAATTTTATAAAATGAAAACTCTGGCCATAGTGTGCTTACTTAGAGAAGTGACTCTGAATAGTAGCAAAGTGATAATATTTCCAGCTATTAAAGTTAGATCTAAAAATTAGAAACCAATATGGGAACAAAATTGTTATTCTAAAGTTCATATATGCTTCAGAAGAAAAATAAAGATCAGACTAATTTCAGATTTTGTTAATATATGATTAAAAATTATGGTCAACCATCATAAAATAAAAATAGAGCACATATTTTTGGAAGGCAGAACAATGAAACAAAAAAAAGTTAATCAGAATAAATCATAAAATAAGGGAAAACAAAGGATAATGTAAAACCAAATAAAAATAAATTCAAATATATTAGCCATCATGTGCTACAGAAAGTTAATACATTAAAAAATAATAGGGTGAACATTCTAGCTATAAAAATCATGAAAAGAAAAGGCATCATGCAATGCATATAAAATACATAAATAATAAGAACACTAAACAAGGAAATAAAACCAAAAACACAGTAAGGTTATTCCAATAAGAATTGCCATTATCAAAAAGACAGAACAAATTTTGGGAAGAATATTGGGAGAAGGAAACTTTGGCACACTTTATTATCTGAAATGTAAATTTTCAGAACCATTACAGAAGACTATAGATTCTTCTTAAAAATTTAAAATAAAAATGCCATATGACCCAATAATCCCAATACTTGATATTTATCCAAAGGAAATAAGTATGTTGGAGTTATTTGTGTCCCCAAATTTACCATAGCACTGTTCACAAGAGCCCCCAAACAGAGAAAATCTAAGATGAGATAGTATCAATATACACTCAAATAGGACATGACTTATTCATAACACATGGAGTTCTGCCATTGTACAGCATGGATGGAACCCAGGGATCACTGTGTTAAGTGAGATAGCTCAAGCATACAAAAGACAAGTACAAACTGATGTTAGGTATATGTGGAGTATTAAGAAGTTCATCTTACAGAACTTGAGATTAGAGTCATGGGTACCACAGGCTGGGGAGAGGAGGGTGGAGAGGGATGATCAATAGGTACAAAGTTTTAGTTAGATGAGCAAGAAATTCTGGTGTCCTGTTGCATGGAACAGTGACTATAGAAAAAAAAGTGTTGAACATTTTACAAAGCCACCTGAAGTGATTTTTGAAGATTTTCATCATAAGTAGTGATGAAAGTTTGAGGAGCTAGGTCTGTTAATCTGATATAAATATCAAAGGTAAATGTAGAAGAACAGAAAACAAGTACAAATACTGCCTTTAAAGAGGAAAGTATTAAAAGTTTTTTACAAAGTAATGGCAAAAGTTTCAAATGACAGCACAATGCAAACACAGCTTCCAGTGTTCACATCAGTCCCTCTCATGAGTCTGAACTGGCCAGAATGTGGTAGAATTGATTCCACTTATTTTCCAGGCTGAGTGATAAATAGCAGTAAAGGCCCAGTGGGCTGCTTAGATGTACACTCTCAGGGGAGTCGGGTACCATATAGTAATGCTGACTACCACTCTGTGATAGGAAACCCCTATCTCACTGAAAGGCTGGTAAGAGGTATACCTGGCTGCCCAGCTGTTCTACAACTGCTCCAGCCATTTCACCTCAGCTGAGGTGTCAGGTAAAAAGAAGCCATCATGGTCGTGGATATCCAGCCCAGTTGTGCCTTCAGATGCCCACAGGCCCACCGACTATCTGACTGCAACTACAAGTCAGGCCCTAACTAAGAACTGTCCAGCTAGGCACTTTCAACCCATAGGATGATGAAAAATGTCAAATATATTGTATTCCAAGTCACTAATTTGGGGTCATTTGTTGTATAGCAATATAATTTTCATTATATTATAAACTTCCTAAGTGGAGCATAAAGTACATATCATAGACTGTATAGGTCTTATGTGATCAGTCCAGTGACTTTTCTAAATAAATACACTATATGGCCATCATGCATAACAAGATAGAGAATTCCCTTATTAGCCCAAGCTAACTCAATTATTGCAAATTATATTTGATTTTTTTCTGTTATATCATGTTACCAAACATAACTCAACCTTCTTATCTGTTCTATTGTGGATAGATACTTGTGTATTTTCCAAGTTTGGGACCATCATAAATAATAGGAGCTATTTTACCATGTTAGGCTACCCAAACCCTACCAAGCCCGTTGATGCTCAGGTAATTCTTTTGGCCTGGCCGCCTACTCCTATCTTTTGTCATGGGAGTGTTTATTTTCTTCCACTGTATATTGAAAGCATGGAACTTGTTTTGCTGTTTTGTTTAGTTTTGTTTTTTAAAAGACCCACAGTTGAAGGAATGGTCTCAGAAGATATGCTGGACTTTGAATCTTTGAGCAATGTTGAGATCGTTAAAACTACACTGATTCTTGAAGTTGCACAGAATCGATTTCACATTATTAGATGACCATCAGCCTATTGGGGTCAAGGATGGAATCTCATAGTTTAAATGAGAACTGTACCTGACAGTAGGCTCATGTGTTGGAATACTTGGTCCCCAGATAGTAGTTCTATTTTGGGGAGACTGTGTAAACTTTGGGGGTATGGCCTAGAGTGATATACTTCATATTAGTAAATTATCCTATGCTGTTCAAGCTCACTGAGAAGCTGCATCTGGAAGTGCCCTGCCCCCACTTTAGACCCAGCCATATTTGTCTTAGAGTAGCCTCCAAGACCTCTATCTATGGACTGGCTGAGCACTCCCCCTTGAAAGAAAGGGAAGTGAGAATAGCAAAACAACCCAAGGGTGAGAATACTATTTCCTTGAGAACAGACAGAAATAAAAGCATTCCAGTAAAAGAGCTGTTTCTTGAACCCAGCTGGGAAGTAAACCATCCCCTTAGTACCTTCCCAAAGCACAAGACTCAAATACTGTTTATTGCAAGATATAAAAATGCTTGTGGTGGGAACCACTAATTGGAAGTCTCATCCAGGACAAACTCCTGCCTGGGACCCTTTTTATCTGTCAGAAGCTCCAGCTGACTATTTGGATTTCTGGGGCTTCCTTAGTCAGTTTCTAGAGTATAAGTTTCTTACCTATCATCTCTGTGCTGCTTAGTGCTTTATTCTTTTAGTCCTGCCTGTTTTATACTCAATAAACTCACTCCTTCCAAACCCTAAGCACAGCTATCAGAAGCCAGCTGCAGTCAGGTGATACCTGCCTCCATTTCTTGTCTAAGCTGTCTACTTTCTGGTTGGTACCATGAGAAAAGTTTCTGTATTAAGCACCTCCCACCGCAGAGCAGACCAACTTACTCCATCCCTCAGGCCTCCTCTACCATGATGGAGCAGTACCCTCCGAAACAGTTAACTAAAACAGACTTCTTTTCCCTTAAGTTACTCTGGTCTTGTATTTTGTCATAGCAACAAGTAAAGTGACATATCATATCCAGGAATTTGGGTTCTTGTGACTCTGCCTGAGTCAAACTTTCCTAATATAGTTAGGAGAAAAATCCAAAGCTAAACCCAGAATCCAAGAAAGAATTCAAAAGTACATTCAGTCAAGGTTGTGTACTCTGGACAAGGACTCCAGAGTCATTTGTTTGAAGACATTAAAGGACACAAAAGAACAAACTAGAGACACTTCATACTTCTATGAGTCTTTAAAAAAAAAAAAAAACACCTTTCTGCTCTGGAGTCATTCAAAAACTCCTCACAAGTTCATGTCTTGTCTATAATCACTAGGCATAGAAATCCAGTGAAGGCTCCATTTACATCAATTGTGTCCAGTGACTTCATTTACTTTTGCAAATCCCCCTCCCTTTTGCCATATTTGGAGGAGTGGGAACTGTTGACATGCCTTTCCAAATTTAGCTCATAACTCTTTCCTCTCGTCTCTCCTAAGCCTGTCTCACATTGTTGGGTTATCCATAAACTTCCTTTCACAAAAGTTGCCTTCTCCTTGAAGCCCTTCTTGATGCTGCCAGGAGGAATTGCCTGTGGTATTCCCTGTACCCCACACCTTTGCTTGAAGCACACATATCATAATGTGACCCCACTATTTGCTTTGTACACCTCTTTCTCATCCACTAGAGTTTTGTTTTTTTAAGGGAAGGCAATTTTCTCTTTCTAGTGTTCAGTAAAATTGAAAAATCCTTTAAGCTATAAAATCAGCCTCTCTCTTTTCCTCCCTCTATGTCTCTCTGACTCTTTCATATATATGAAATTGATATATATTTGAGTGAATATATATACATAATTTTAGAAGCCAATTTATAGGGTTTTATATCATCCCACAAAGTGTACTGAAGGCAGCAGCTAATTTGCTTTAGAAGCCCGGTTGAGGTGGAAGGAAGAACAAGGCAAGGGCAGAGGTTCAGAGAGCCACCTGGAGGGGGGAGCGGGTCTCAGGAGGCATTTGTGCTTGGAGAGGTGGTGGCTGTGTCCCACTGTGCTAGACTGCTGGCACAGAGATAAATGGCCGTGTGGTTCTTTTGTGCTGATCTCACAGTCAGAGGAAAAACTGATTTCTTCTCTCGAGAGGCATCATAGCCTTCAGAGAGGTCTCCTTTCTGGACATCGTCTGTAATTTGTGAATAGTAGATCAGTCTTAATCCTTGCCCTGGGTCCTGTCGGTACCAGTACATGGAGTCATGATTAAAATTCTGTTCACATTTCAGGGTCAGCTTCTGCCCTTGTTCTCTGATCAGGAATTTAGGGGTCTGGGTGATGCTACCATCCGTGGTTCCTAGGAAAGAAAGAGAAAGACATTAGAAACCATCAGGAAGGAGCTTGATGCTGCTGTCCTGGGGGGAGAAGACTAGATATGAGCTTGGGGGTAGGAACTTGCCCCTTGGGCGCAGGACTCACCTGCTCTGAGTAGACACAGAATCACGCAGCAGAGCACCCGCTTGTTCATAGTGGGACGGGAGTTTCTTTGAACTCCAAGCACTAGTTGGAAGTGAAACAAAAAAAGTGTCTTGACTCTCAGTTCCACCTGGTTTAATATAGGGAACTGACCAGGAAGGCAAATCCTTGGGTGCTCCAGACAGGCTTTCTAATTTTTCAGAAGAGAAGGATGTTGGTGAACAGAGCCACTGGCACAGCACAGCTGCGCTGGCTCTAGGAGGAGGGTTGTCGTCACTCAGATTTGCCCCCTGGCTTTCACTTTTGCAGTTGTGTAACTGTTTTAATTACTGCAGCAGCACTCCCAGCAACCTTTTCTCTGGTTAGAAAAGACTATACGATTCATTTTTTGTAAAGTTTTATTGAATTTTTTGTATTTCATACAGAACCTCTTAATTATCTCTATATCACACCCATCCCCACTGGCACCCTCCCATAGCTTACCCACTGAATATCATAATTCTGTCATGTGTTAAGGCCTATGGCATCAAGTTAGTGTCCCCAGACATCTCTCAGTGTAAAACCAAATGCACCTAGCTGGAGGGGTCATAGATCTTAGAGAAAACTGCAAGGCTGTCACATTCCTAGACAAATGTAATTCCTTACTATGTGTAAAATATGGACCCTTATATTTACAAACAAGTATTCCAGTCACCAAAGAAGCTTCTTTTGCAATAAACAGACATTATTACAGAGTTCCGTAACTAGTCACACACACAGATTGTCTGGAAATTGCATAACCCCAAGTGACACATCTACAATGCAACCTCTACACCTCAGGCTCATCGAACACAGACCAAGGGGTAGAGAGAATACTAATGCACCTCTCCACTCTCACCAAGGATTCATTTTTAGTGCTTTCATCTGTATCAAGGTGTATTCAGAATATCTGTGGTAGAAGTCTGAGAAGGTACCAACCTGCTGCCTACGGTATCCAGCACCAGCCAGCTGCAGTCTGGATCACCCCACCTTCATGCCCAGTCGTGTCTTCCCTTCACCATCTTTCCTCTAGAAGCTTTAACTTCTTTATCTCCTTTTCATACCCTTATATGTTTCTTTCCCTTTCCTCAAAGACATTCACTAAATTTTCATTTGCATTTATTTTTCTTCTACATATTTTTATTTATTATTTTTAGATACTTTTTCTTTCATTTACTTCCTTAGTTCAGTTTCTTCTCTCATTTCTTCTGGATTTGCTGCTTCTGTTTTAATTTTTATTAACAGGTTCTCTCTTGCTTTGTTGGCTCTGCTTAATTCTGTTTGCAGTATAGATTTAAAAGTTCTGGCTCATGTTTCATGGGGAGGAGGGTAGAGGTAACAGTGTTATTCCACTCTACGGATTTCACTTTTATCCTGTTTGTTCTGTGTTGTTTGGGCATCTGTTTTAGAGCTAACCTTTGCTATCATCCTAGCTAAGACCAAACACCTAAATTTTGTGCTTCTGTATGAGACTCTTAACTTGTGACTGTCTTCAGCTTTGTGAGATTCTGAGTTTTCCATATTTTCTTCCCCTTCTCCTCCTCCTCCTCCTCCTCCTCCTCCTCCTCCTCCTTCCTCTCTCCTCCCCCTTCTCCTCCTCCTCCTCCTCCTTATCCAGTTGCCAGAAGACTCTCCCTCCTACTTGGGTGGCTTATTTATTTTCTTTTTCTTTTTTGTTTTGAGAAAAAATACCTTTGGAAAATTGTCCTTTTAAATCACATACCTTGGGCCTGCAAGATGGCTCAGCAGGTAAAAGTGCCTTCCTTTCAAATCTGCTCACCTGAATTCAACCCCCAGATTATACAGTGGTAAGAAAAAAATGAACTCCTGTAAGTTGTCCTCTGACTTACAACATGTGTGCATGCATGCATGTGCCCAAATTTCTACATGCATGGTACACACATCCATATACACAGTACTGCTAATAAATAAAATCAACCAATCAGAGGCTAAAGGAATGGCCCAATAGTTAAGAGCACTGGCTACTCTTGCAAAGGACCTGGATTCAGTTCTCAGCGCCCCCATGGTGGCTAACAACTGTCCTTAACTCCACTTCCAAGGGATCTGATACCCTCTTCTGGCTTCTACAGACATTGCACACATGTGGTGTACTTATACACATGAAGGAAAAACATAATATAAAATAAAAATTAATTAATTTGAAAATCAAATGACAAGCCTGGTGCTATAAATGGCATGGACTTGGATCTCCTCCTTTGCTGCACCCATTCTTCTCTGATCAGCACGGAGATCTATTCTCCAATTATTCTCTCCAGCCATTATCTGTCATCTGCCTTCTTGGCAAGTTTTCTGCTTTGTTTGTGGTTTTCTTTTTCTCCACTCCCAGGTGGGTGAGGCAGAGACAGAACGGCCTGAAATAATTTGACAAAAATCAAAATGTAAAACATGCTGAGCAATATCGTGATTTATCCTCCTGGCTGGTGATCCTGGGCCTGTCAAATGTCTGGTTATTTGAAATTACTCTGCACTTCATTGCCTTTTGAGTTTAAGGAATTGTTTTATAAAAGTAAATTAAGCCAGGCACAGGGATGCTTGCGTTTAATACCAACACTTAGGAGGCAGAAGCAGGAAGATCTCTGAATTTCAGACCAACCTGGTCTACGCAGTGAGTTACAGGAAGCCCCTGTCTTAAAACAACAAACAATAACAACAACAGGATAAAAATAAACCACTTTTCTGTAGGTGTCTAGTACTGATTGAATAAAGACAATAAAAGAATAATATACTTGCTGAACTAATAAAAAGTTCAGATGACACATCCCAATGAGCACTATCTGAGGGCCAGAACTTTCTCTTGTGCTCCAAGGAAAGTTATCCAGCTCAACTTCCAACATCTCTCAGATACTCTAACCTCTTTTGAGATAAGACCCACCAGGTTGACCTTGAAATCACTATGTGGCCAAGGATGACCTTGAACTTCTGATCCTACTTCTTCCACCTCTCAGTACTGGGATTGCAGGCTGTGATTACAGGCATAGGCCACCCTTCCAGATTTTACCCCATGCTGAGGATTGAATCCTGGGCTCCAAACATGCTAGACAAGCATTCTACCTACTGAACTACATCTCTAGACGATCTCTCAGATATTTTGATTATACAGCACTTGTGATCCTGGCATCTGTGTAAGCCTTGGAAGTATCTAAGGAGCAATGCAAGAAAGACTACCAGACAGCATGGTTTGCTATAAAAGCACACTGCTCTAAACCGGACAGACCTGTATTTGAATCCTGACTGTTACCTGTTAGGCTTTTTTGTTTGTTTTCGTCTTTCCTTTCTTTTATTATTATTTTTTCTTAATTCTTGAGAAAGAAAAATTAGTTCCTGCAATAAAATTTTCTGGTGATGAAGATGAATATGCTTTCTTTTCCTAATCCTCATGTGGATGGCACAAAATTATTTATGTAAAACACAACAGATATGACTTCACTTGCAGTGCGGAGAAAAAGGAAGAGAGCTACCTGGTCACCTGGTGTTAACCTTGTTTTAAACCATTGTACTTTCCAAGTGCAGTGTCATTTCCTGAGCACAGCAGCCTGCCTGAGGTGTTCCATGTCCTGCAGAATTCTACTTGCAACAACCTGCAAAGTGTATGGGGCTGATATGAGGATTACACAGATATATCTTCTTTCCTCAACCACTGCTGCTCCCACATGGAGCCTGGAGGAAGTTTCTGCCTTTTAAACATGTGGATTTGTATTGATGTGGGAAATGAGCTGGCACAGAAATACACCACCGAGTCTTCCAGCTCTGTGCCTTCCAGCTTCAGGGTATTGGGTCCCTCTTTACGAAATTCAGCAGAAAATCATTTATTCATGATTTCTGAACTGTCTATGACTGTCTATTTCTGAAGGTAAATCATGAACGTTAAACATTCCTTCAGGAGCTGTTGATACCAAAACCCATGACCGTGGTTTTTTAGTGGGTTGCATTGTAGGGTTGCCTCCTGTCCTCTCCTCCTGACCATGTATCGGGGGCCCTGGGTAACACCAGCATGTGTGAGACCTGAGGGGAGTAAAACATTCATGAGGCAGAGTTGTAAAGGTAAAAGAATGTATACCTTTCAATGAAGCAGCCCAGTGTGAGGTCAAAGAAAAAAAAATATATATATATAGACCTATATATATAGGTCTTTTTGAGACAGAGTCTCCCTGTAGTCCCAGCTGAACTGGAACTTGCTGTGTAGACCAGGCTAGCCTCAAATTCACAGAGATCCTCCCCTCTGCCTCCCAAGTGCTGGGATTAAAGGCGTACACCACCAAGCCTGGCCCAAGGTCAAATATATTTTAAAGCCCATTTATATCCTGAAAATTCACATGAACACTGCTTTTCACTCAATAATGCGTTCTTATTTTAATGTGTCAATATCTTCCAAAAATCTTTGGGAAGTGTAGAGATCCAGGGTGTATTTTTGGTGACAGAATTATAGATCAGAAATCCCAGTGATTTTGACTCATTAGTTTGGAACTTACCTACACCAAGGAGCCAGATCACACAGCAGAGATCTCATGTGCATGGCAGGCCTGGGTTTGAAAGTGAGCTATATGCAAAGCTAGCCAGAAACTTTCATCACCTGGTCAGGAAGCTAGACCTCACAGCTACTTCCTGTGTAGTCAGGAAGCTAGACCTCACAGCTACTTCCTGTGTAGTGTGTGCTCCTATGAGGTCCTCACTACCATGAATTTCAGAGGAAATGCTGACTCTTTTGTTCTTAGCTACCTATAATGTGGATTAGTATGTATGTGTATATCACTCCAGGCCACTTTCATTATTAGTCCATTTTTACTAAATTTTGAAATGTTTAAATATAATGTTTCTATTTCCTTCACTGATTCTTGCTTTTTATTCTTTTACATTCATTTTGTTTTCTCAAACGTCTTTCCATTTTCTGGCTACAGCTGAATAGAGACATTGACCAGAGGCCACATTGACCAGAGGCCACATTGACCAGAGGCCACATCTAGATACGCATACTGAGAGACAAGGAAGTAAAGACTGACATGGCTGGAGATGGGCAACTGCTTCTTTCCTCTCCCACCTCAGCTAAGCAATGGCTGCAATCATCTTGAAGGAGTTTTATTTGACAGTTCTTTTACACTTTTCATATTATGATTTTCTACTTGAATTTTAAAACAAGCAATTTAAACAACAAGCATTTTTTAATCTATAAATTATTCCTCTGAGTCATGTCTTCTGAAGCTATGGATGTGTCTGGATTCATAACTGGATGGAAGGCCTGTTGGAAAGCTTTCCCTTTCACATAGTTCATCTTCCTTTTGGACCTGATAGCATTGAATAAAATTGTCTGAAAGTCTGCTTTGTCTGGGCAATTTGAATGGAAGATTCAAAGAGCACATCACTGTGCCACCCAATTAGGAACTGTAGGTTTCCTGGAGAACTTTTAAGGAAAACTTGGAAGGACGTCTTTGCCTTGACTAGTGAATAAGATCATATTAACTTCTGCTGTCCACATAGTGAAGGCTTTATCCTACTTAAAGGAAACTGTTAAGATACCTCTCAAAGGATCTCGGTTACTTTGTGGAGTTTTCAGTAAGTTTCTCCATACATCAGTCGATATGCATCTATGATCATTCTTCGATTCAGACCAGTTCCTCTAGTATCATCCTCTAGCACAATATCATCCAACTAAATTATTGATGAAAATGCCCAGTTTGGAATACTCATGGCCGGATGCAGAGGACATTTACAGATATCTTTGGATGTGCTAATTTGGGGGCTATAAGGACAGAGATAGAGAGATTATGGTCCCATTACCATCTCTAGGTATCCTTTCTCACTTAGGGCCCCCAAACAACTTTTCCTACATACAGTCTCACCACCTGTGAGTGGTTCCATCAGCTGCTGGTAACAGTCTTCCCACTTAGAGAGTCCAAACGTAACCTGAAAGATTCAATTAGGAGCTGATGCTTCATCATTTACTTTTACTCCCTCTTGGCCACTGTTTTCAAGCGAACCTTCTACCTGAAGCCTTGACTACAATCAAATATCTGGATGGACATCAATAGCCAGGAGCAGTAAGTTCTGTATGGGAAGTACGG